AATAATAATAATAATAATAATAATAATAATAATAATAATAATAATAAAAAATACAAAAAAATTAAAAGAAAGCTAGATATGATAACATACACCTATAATCTTAGCACTCAGGAAAGTGAAGCCTGAGAAAGACAAGGGGAGAGTTGTAGGTCACCCTGAAAATACATATCAGGGTCCTACTTATCTCAAAAAATAAAGTATGAAGCATAAATTACTAAGGTTTCTATTTCTACCTTGTTCTTATTTTTCTGTCTCTTTAAAATATAATGGATATAAAGCTTTTTTAAAATGGCATGGTCAGCAGGTGGTGCCTTTGATCCTACAACTCAGGAGCAGTGGTAGTTGGATCTCTGTGAGTTTGAGGGCAGCCTGGCCTACAAATAAGAGTTCCAGGACAGAAAAGGCTGTTACATAGAGGAACTCTGTCTTGAAAAGCCACCCCCCCCCAACCCTTCCTACAAAGAAACCAAACCAAACCAAACCAAAACAAACAAACAAACAAACAAATAAATAAATAAATAAATAAATAAATAGAGCAACAACAAAAACCCAGCATGGTCTCACTGTTGGTTACCTTGGCTATTCTTAAAATCCCAGGCTCAAGAGATCCTTCTGCAACAAAACAAAACACCCTCCCCATCCTTCAGTTTAAGTCTCCAGAATAGCTAGTATTATACAAATGTGCCAGCCTAAGTTATGCAAAAAGACCATGCTACAAAAAGCAATATATATATATGAGAAGGATCTGGTGGCCCACGCCTTTAATCCCAGCACTCAAGAGACAGGCAGATCTCTGTGAGTTCAAGGCCAGCCTAGTCTACAGAGATAGTTCTAGGATAGCAAAGGCAACAAAAAGAAGCCCTGTCTTGGAAAACCAAAATAAAATGAGATAATTAAAAATATTGATTTTGAATCTTTGGAATCAAGGAGTTAAAATCTGTACAGATAAATAGGGACAGAATAAAAATCACATTTTGAGAAACTTTTTCTTTTGACACAGCAATTGTTCACAACAAAATGCTGAATAAGAAGTGCTAAATAACACGGCCCTAGATATCTGTCCTACCTCAAATCTTAAATTTCATAAATTTTCTAGAACATGCCTTTTTAATTTAAAATATTAAAAAATACCCTTTATGATTCAAATTAAACAGAATAAACACATTTTTGTGAAAAAGAAAATAAACATGGTGCTGCAAAGAGTCTAAGTAGAAATAAAGTCAAGACAAAAAAAAATTCCATGGCATCCAATCAGGGCATTTTCCACTGTTAATTTCTCATTTTTAAATATGTTTGCTTCTCGAATGGACAGGTACAAAGACCTTAAATAACGCCAACAGCTTATATAATACTATTAACAGATTACTCCAGAGATAAAAATTTAAGAATTGACAGCTTATCATAATCTTCCTGCCGCAAAATAACAAGGGTAATTTACCATATTCATCTCATAGTGATTTTTTCTTTCTTTCTTTTTTTTTTTTAAATGGAGAACTCGATATGCAGCCCAGGCTGTCCTGGAAAATGTTATCCTCCTTCCTCAATTTGCCAAATATAAAAATTACAAATGTGTATAACTGGATGTGGTATCTATCCATTTTTAGACCCCAACCACAAAGTGCAGTGTCTGGCACATAGTCTGTACTCAATAAATGTTTATGTTCTAAACCTAAGCCTTTCCTTCATGCTAGCACTTGCTGCTAGACTTAACTATTAGACCAAGCAAAAACAGTGAAATTACATTTAGACTCTTCAATCATTAAATATAGAGAATATGCTAGGTAAATGAATGCACACAATGTAAATTAAAGGGAATATTTGTGTTAGAATTTTAAGTGCTATACTAAATTACCTGGCACATTTAGTATAATGCTTGCCCACTGAAATGTTTCTGACTTTTAGCCAGCTTTACTTTGTTACCTTAGTTGACCTCATTGAATACACTAGAAGGCAATACAATTATAGGTGTTCTAGACTAGAATGTAGATCCCAATCCAAAGTCTGCTAACACTAAACAACAGAACTCTAAGCAATTCATTTTTTCATCTTTGGATCCTCATCAACCTATCTGTAAACAAAAGAAGAGAACTCAACACAGGGGATGTGTCCAGTCTTACCTTTTGTTTCCAGTTTTAGGGACTGACTACAGGGCCTAGTGTATATTATGCAAACATTCTGTACTGAAATATACCCAAACCCTTTGAAGCTTTTACCCCCAACCCAAAACATTCACTATCTTTAAAACTGTAGCATGCGTGAGGATTGATAATGAGGGCACAAAACCCACTTAAGTATCAAAAAATGTCATGCAATATAATTTTTTATTGATTATAATTGTTTGTACAGGGTCTGATGTAGCCCAAGCTGGCTTTGAAGTCTTGCTCATCCTCCTACCAAATGCAGGCATTAGAAGTGTGAGTCCTGACCCTGTTTTACTATCTTGTGTATATGGATATTTTGCCTACATGCATGTGTGTATCATATGCATACAGTGCTCATGGAGGCCAAAAGGCACTGAATCTTCTGGGACTGGAGTTACAGATGGCTGTGAGATATCATGTGAATGCCGGGACTAGAAATCAAGTCTTCGGGAAGAGTAACCAGGGCATTTAAACACCTAGTCACCTCTCCAACCCAACTTTTTTTTTGAGGCAGGGTCTCACTATGTAGCCCAGGCCGAACTTGAATTTACAATTCTTCATTGACTTCACAGTGTCGGCATTACACGTGAAAGCCACTATGTCTGGCTTTCTTTACCCTTTCTCTCTTCTATTGGTGTACTATTCAAAATAATGGGTTATATTTTTACAAATTATATAATGTACTTTGGTCAACTTCTAAGTTTTTCTTTGATATGTTCAAAACCCATTGCCTTGCATGTGAGAAGCACTCACTGAGCTACAAATCCCAATACAATCTTTACATGCTTAACCTTTTTAAAAAATAATGTTAATCCAGAAAGATCATGTGATTCAGATTTATGTCTAATTTGATATCTGAATTCTGTAATTTCCTATACTACTTAATAATCAAGAAACATCATTTTCTAAAAATAAAGACCATTTCATATGAAAAGGAAAATAGGTGAAAGCCAAGAGAAAAAAATACTCAAATAATCAAGCCTGTCTGTTAAGACAACATAAGCCACACACAATTTTACAATATAAATCATTGATATATAAACGGATGTTTAGAAACATGGATTGAAAATACTGATGTTGATATACATCTATGTGAGCTTTAAAATGTTTTAGTAATTAAATAACACCTGTTTATAATAAATTACTCAAACATATTTAAGGCACAGGAGAAAAGCAAAGTAGAAGTTTTCCATCCCTTTTTCAGAAGTAGCCAGTGATATCATTTATCCTGTATACCTTTCATGGACCCATGTGACCCAATCCATGTAGATATAAGCTTATGTTTCTCTGTCTGTAGGTATAAATGTAGCCTAAGATATCTTCCATTTTTAAGTATTGGGGGAAAGCAGTCCCAGGCACAATCTTTACAAGCATGTTCACTACACTGAAAATGGTGCAGGCATCAACACAAAGTAGTATCATGCTCAACAGAATTGTTCAACAGAATACACTTATATTTTGTGCTGAGAGGTTATATGAAGCAACAGGAGTGAGGTGGCCAAGAAGCCAGAAAATCAGTTCTAATCTAACCAGCCTGGTAACCTTAGTTTGGCAAGTCATGAAACCTTGAACCTTAGCTTTTGCTTTGTAAAAAACGATTGGGCTATGATCCTTCCCAATTCTAAAATGGTATAATTCTAAGATGGCCAGCTCTTAACAGTGTTCTCTTGAACTGGCTACAAAAAAAAAAAATGGTATTAAGGAGAAAATGAGAAAGCAGAAACACTACAGCTCTCTCCAGTCTTACAAGAGTAAATTTCTGACTTGTTCACTATCAAGGTATAGATGTGATGACAGAACTAGTGACATAATTGTACTTGAAGGCAAAGTAGTAGATTATTAAAATCTGATACGTCTGTTTTCCCCCAGTCTCCATTAGCATTTTTTTTTGAGAGGGACAGAGCTAGTTCTCAGTTTCATCAATCACTACTCCCCTCCCTTAAAAGAAAAACACCTCCACAATTCAAGTAAATTGTGGAATTAAAATAATGGAACTGAAAATCAAATTAACATTTTTCTTTCAGAACTATGTTGGGGAAGTGACCAAGGCAATAAAGGGTGGCAAGTATGACAAGCTATTTTCTCCCCTGGAAGCTCTTTGGCCCTCATTCTTTCGGTTTCACACGCCTTTGCCAGAAACATATCACCCTGCCCCATACATGCCACAAGGCATCAGATTGGAGGGAAGGGAGGTTGACTGTATTTTTTTTTAATTATTTAACCAGATTTACCTTTGTATCACGAAGTTTAAGAAGGCTGACCTGAAGGCTTGAAGCCAGCCACCCTACCCCATGGCTTCGAGGGGCAATCCCGGGAACCTGGACAAGGAGCCCAGTGCAGTATATCCCTTGGGCGGGCGCGGCCATCCGGCCCAACTAGGCAGACTTAGCTCAGGCGGAAGGGAGGGGGGTTGAAAAGGAGGGAAGGAAAAGGAGGGAGGGGGAGAGGGAAGGAGCAGGAGGGGGAAAAGAGGAGGGAGGAAGGAGGTGGAGGGAAAGAAGAGCAGAGAAGGAGGGGAGGGGAGGACAGGAAACCCACAAGAGCTGTACCCACCACGCCAAGCACTCCAGTCCTAACAGCCGTAGGCGACAGTTCCCGAGGGGAGGGTCCCAGAGGAGGGGCAGCCCGAGCCCGGATCAGGAAAACAACTCCGCTGGGCGGAGGGCCGCGGCCTAGAAGGAAACGGAAGTTGCTATGTGTCCCTCCCTTGGCCTTCTCAGACCGGACAGTCCCTTCTGAAAAAACTCGGAGACTAGAACCAAGAGAGTCCACGTCAGGGCTTTAAAAAAAAAAGCCACGGGGTGCAAGTCTGCCAACTTTAACTTCCCGGGCTATCCTGGCCTCAGGCCATGTCCTTCCCACCTCCCCCCTGGGAGCTCGACTCCCGCCCGGCAAAGCCCCTCCTTCTTTCCCTGCTCCGCCATCTTCTATCCTACCTCTCGGGCCCTGGAGGCCTTCGATCACGGTCGCATCCGCTCGGGGGACCTCCGACGGCCAGCCACTTCCCGGAGCCGGAAGGGGGCATCCAGAAAAAAACCAGTCCTCCTCATTATGCAGCCCGAGGCCCCCCACCCCCCTCCCGGCTTCAAGCCAGAGCCTGACCCAGCGGTCGCCCATGCGCACAGGTCAGTCCCCGCCCCCAACTCAAGCGGTTCCTTTTTTAGCATCCAGGACTTTTTTTTTCTCCCAGGGCTTTTACCTAGACTCTAAGGCGGGGAGTAGGGGAATACAGATAAAAGGATAAAAAACCTAGGGAAAAGGCTCGGAGCACTTTGAGTTCTTATTGGATACCAGGGACTCTGCTAGGTATATAACATTGGTTGTTGCTCTTTCAAAAACTCTGAAAGGCAGGACACCTCTATTAAATTCACTACAGGGGAAACAGACCCAGAGAAAATAATTTATCCCAGTATCACCCAGATGATAAAAAAGTAAACTGAGATTAGAGAATCGGTTCTTTCTAAATAGAGAATGGTGAAAGGAATGACAAGAAAAGGAGACAGATCGTGAGAGATGTTTAATTTGTGAAGAAAAAGGAAAAAGAATTGAACAAACATGGAAAAGACACACAAAGCTGGGCATAATGGCACACGCCTGTAATCCCACCACTCGGGGAGGCAGAGGCAGGTGGGCTCTCTGTGAGTTTGAGATCAGCCTGGTCTACAAAGGGAGTCCAGGACAGCCAGGGCTACACAGAGAAACCATATCTCAAAAAAAAAAAAAGAAAAAACTAAAAGGACACACAAAAGTTTTCGTACAATAATTGGTGATCATGTCCCTAAAGTTATTCATATATGACTGTAGGATTGTCAAAAAACCGGGAATTTAGGTTTCAGGAATTTTGGCTCTTAGTGGCTAGTACAGTAAAATGGATTCTGAATATCATTTCAAAGGAGAAAATCATGAGTACCATCTGCCTGGTTAAATAATGCTACTACCATTGATGAAAAGACACTTTGAAAATAAAAAAAAAAATTTTTTTTGTCTTTAAACTTTTGCTGACATAATATTCCTTCTAATGAAATCTTTTAAAAAAAAAGTTATTTCATTGAGTGTGTGAGATCAGAACACAACTTGGGAAATCCATTCTCTCCCAGCTTGTGGGTTCGAAGGATGAACTCAGGTTCCCAGGCTTGGTGATAATGGTTCTGGGGTGTGTTCTTATAGCTCTGAGAATCACACCTGACTTACAGCAATAATAGTAATTGCAAGCAAGGGCTGGAAATGTAATTCAGCAGTAGAGCAGAGCACGTGCAAGGCTGAATTCAAACCCTACCACTGCCAACAAAACAGAACTGCAAACAAGTATTTATCTCACTTCTCAAGGCACAATTAACTTCTTTTTTCAAGACAGGGTTTCTCTCTGTAATAGTCCTGGCTGACCTGGAACTCACTTTGTAGACCAGACTGGCCTCAAACTCACAGAGATCTTCTGCTTCTGCCTCCTGAGTTCTGGGATTAACTCTTGCTACTCTTACTTAAATATATAAATCAATAAAACTATTTGTTTCTCTTTAGATGAGAGTTTTACCAAGCCACCTTCAAATTCAGCAACAGGAGGATCAGGATTTCAAGGTCATCCTCAGTAGAAAGTAGGAGGCCATCCTCAGGTGCAAGGGACCCTGTCTTAAAAAAAGAAAACAAAACAAAAACAAAAAGCAAAAAACTTGCCTCAAGCTACCCTCCTTTGTCTTTATAGTAGTTGGTCCATCATCACCTCATTTTAAAGAGGCTGAACTCTATTGGGTAGGAACTGAACAGTATGAGTCAAGGTTGGATCTTTCTACTCACATGTCTGCCTGACCTTTACCCAGTGTGATTTTCCTGTTCTTAGGCTTATTCCTTCTTTCCACCCCATTTAGTCTGCATGAGGTTCAGTTAAATCTTTCCATTCTGACTTCAGGACAAGAGTAAATCTCCTTAGCCTTACGTTCACTCCCCTCTAGAACAGTATATAGTGTCTTCTAAGATAACTACTTACCTTGCCCTGGCTCTTGTCAGTTTGCCTGCCTTCCAGTAATTTATTGAAACTCATTGAACAGACTGCTCCCAAGCAAAGCCTACTCTAATTCCCTTACCTGAAGATTATATTTTCTCATTTCTGTTATCTTTCATTCTTTGAACTTAAAGTGCTTTATAAAATCTTTATTATTGTTGTTTTGGGCCTTTTGATATTATTTTTTGAGACAGCATCTCCCTAAATAGCCCAGCCTGTCTAAGAAGTCACTGTGTAGGCCAGGCCAGACTGAAACTAATCCTTATGTCACAGTCTCTGACTTTTGGGATTGCAAGAAACAGCTATGTAACCTACCTAGTACTGTTCGGCTTGAGTGTTTTGAATTGAGGTCTCATGTATCCTAGGTTGGTGTGAAGTCACTATGTAGTCCAGGGTGACCTTGAATTCTTGATCTTCTTGCCTGAATATTTGGATTATAGATTGTCCCACCAAGTCTGGCTTTATTTTGTGAGATAAGACTTTGCTATGTAGCCTTGTCTAGCTACATATTCCAAGCTCAGCTCAAATTAATGGCAATTGTCTGCATTATCATCTTAAATGCTGAGATTATGAGCTTGAGCCACTACATCTGCTAACACTTTTTATTGTGAAATGTACATAAATTTACTATTGTACCAATTTTATTTTAACCATTGTAAGTGAAAGAAAATGGGGACACAAGTGTTCCAAAGTATGGTTAAGGAAAAGGCTTTTACTAGACAGTTCAGCCAGAAGCATCTGGAAAGGTCCAGACTGAACAAGATTGTGAGGGGTGAGAGTGAGAGAGGAGGAGGAGAGAAAGAAGAGGAGAAAGAGAGAAGAGGAGGCAAGAGGACCAGTGTTGGTATAATGTTCTTGAGGGATGAATGCAATTTACCCTTGTCATTCAAATGATGATTTCTCTACCCCACTATCTGTTTTCAATCCAGACATTGTACTGTGATGATGCTTATTCTGTCTCAATGTTTGTGTAAGCATGCCACCATTTGTTCTCTCTGTTGACAATAAAAACAACCAGCCAATGCTGAACAATGGAGAGAATAGGGTGGGGCATCCTGGTCCAGAGTGGAGGAGAAAGAAGTGAGTGGGAAGAGAGATCAGAGAAGAGAGGACCTGGAAAAGGAGAAGTGAACCAGACCTAAGATATGACTAAAAAGCAAGTATAATGTAGGAAATCTGAACAGGAGGAAGCTGTGGGCTTGGAGGTTTAAGATGGAATAATAATTGCCCAGCAATGTGCTCTAGGTTAATTAAATAAATCTTAGTCTCTGTGTGGTGATTTGGGTATAAAACTGGTTTAGGAGTAACCGCTGGTTAACTAAAAGATAAACCAATATTAAATATTAATAATCATAAACCGATCAAGAGAGCACATGGCCACAATGGCAGGTTTATATAGGAATGAAAAGTTGGGGGAAGGGAAGAGAATCCAGGCCTTTGGGTTGGAGAGATTTAAGATAGGGGGTGAGGTGGGAAGTGCTGGGGGGTAGCCTCAGGTACTGAGTGAGACTTGTCCCAAGTTTTTTTTGGACCTGACAGTAAGTACATAGTTCAGTGGCACTGAGTACAATCCCATTATTGTGCAAGCATCACCACTGTCCATTTCTAGAATGGATGTTCATCTAACTTCATCATTATACTTAGTGCTGTGTTACAGTACACAGTGAGTTGTGTCACACGATATAGCTACTTGTATAAATGTATGATCTCTCCTATGGTGTAAACTCATTTATGGGAAGATCTGTGTCAAACTCATTTTTTTGAAAACCTTGAAGTCATCTTTTACAAATTTTAAATGTATTCATGGGAGTACATACCATGTCATGTATATGGAGGTCAGAAGACAGCTTGCTAAAGTGGACCCTTTTCCCCCATCCGTGTTGGTTCTAGAGATCAAATTCAGGTCATCGGGGTTGATAACAAGCCCCTTTACCCACTGTTCCCTCTCTCTAGCTCCTTTTTTTTGATTTTTCAAGCTAGAGTCTCCTATATCCCCAGACTCATTGCATAGCTGGAACTTATCTCTTTTTTTTCCTTTATTTTATCATTAATGTGTGTATGAGTGAGATGTGTGTAAGTGTGGGTTTACACATCTGCATGTATATGGAAGTTAAAGGGCATATTTCAGTAGTTATTTCTCTACTTCCACCAACTGTTCCATGGATCAAACTTAGGTTATCAGTCTGTAAGCCCAACCCTTGAACTTCTTATCTTTCCTTCACCTCCGTATTGCTGGGATCTTAGGTGTGCACCACTAATGCCCAGTTTACACTGTGGTAGGGATTGAACTCGGGGCTTTGTGCATACTAGGTAAGCACTCTCTCCAAAGCTGCAGTCTCTAACACCAAAACACATCTTTAGTTCCTCTCATTTGTCATCCTCTCATCCAACCCATCAGCAAAGTTTACCATTGCTGTCTTCAGAATATACCCAGGGTACCACAGCTCTCAACTTCACCACCACTTTCTCCTGGCCTGCAGTACCTTCCTCACTAGCCTTCTCAGTTCCCTCTATATTTCATTCCCCACAGCAGCCAGTTACGAATGTAAACCACTAATCCAGATCATTTTTCTGCTCAAATTCCTTCACTAGCTCTCCATTTCATTTAAAAAAGTTATTATTACCAGCCACCATAAGGAAGTCCAACAATCTTCATCTCTCACTAGTCACCAGTAGTCATGTGCTTGCTTGGGTTTCTTCTGCACAGAATTAGGGCTGACCTTTGTGACAGATAGAATATGGAAGTGGTGGTGTGTGACATATAAGGTGAGGTTAGAAAAGGTCTTGTGGTTTCTGCCTTTGCTTTCTTGGGTTGGTTGCTGTGGAGTATGCCAGGCATGTTTGAGTACTCAAAGAGAAGGTGAAGCTAGGTTTGATGGTTCACTACTGTAATCTGAACACTCAGGAAACCAAGGCAAGAAGATTATGAATTTGAAGCCAGCCTAGTGTACATAGTAAGATAAGAAAGAAAGAAAGAAAGAAAGAAAGAAAGAAAGAAAGAAAGAAAG